TTATTGTGTCTAAGGCAACACTGGATCTCTAACCTATTCAGAGCATTCGTATCAGAAGCTCAAAGGCTGTTATAAGAGCTATCCTACTATACGGGGGCTGGCAAAAAAATTCGCTTTGACCCAGTCACATATCAGCAGTTTTTCGCAGCCCAGACAGAGGACGTGGATACGAGTACCAGGGCGGAAGATACCCAAGATGTTCCTCGATAAGCAGGAGCTGGCTCTCGCCCATCACCTTCATGTACACCAAAATATGAAGTCATCTCCAGTCGCAGCCTGACTGGAGAAGACCTTTGGAATTCATGTCACCTCCAAACAGCTGCGAAACTTCTAGTATGGAGTCACCCATGGATAGCTACCTGGAGACCAGTACTCTCGATCTGGAAGACCTCCAACATCGAGCAGCTCCGACTCGTCTAGGACATCATCTTCACCACAGTCGTCAAGGCGCGGGTTGATGGTATGGACCGGACGTACCTGGAATGGAAAGACCGATATTTTCTTCGTGGACCCGGACTGAAGGTGAGCGCTGGCGGTTACATCAAGCAACTCGAGAAGGAATATCTTCCCTAAATGTCGTCGCCTGTACCTTCCCGGAAACTTTGTACTGCTACAGGCTCGGGTGCCACTGTTGTGAACTCACAACCTTTCTTGTTATCATCCTACTCTATATAATCCGCTAAGTTTGTCTGTAGTGTGTGTCTGTGTGAATGTTTGTTTTTCTGTCTGTATGTGTAAGTTTGACCGGAAATTCATAACTTCCTTCAAAACAGCGATAGAGCGCTCAAACTGATAAGTGATGTAGGAGGTCGGGCAGGAACACTATTGGTGGTGGCAGGAAGTGATAACAGCTGATAAGATACCATAGGGGGTCCTAGAAGGGGAGCAACGACGGGACGTTGGTTACAAGAATTAAGGTAGGAGACAGGATGGGAACATTATTGGCGGGTGGCAGAAAGTGATAACGGCTGATAAGATACCATAGGGGGTCCTAGAAATGGAGCAACGACGGGACGTTGGTTACAAGAATTAAGGTAGGAGACAGGATGGGAACATTATTGGCGGGTGGCAGGAAAGTGATAACGGCTGATAAGATACCATGAGGAGCTTAGGAAGCGGAGGGTCACCAACCTCATAACGAGCTATCTTACTTCTTGGGATCAACGTCCCAGCGACGGTAGGACGTTGATCCCAAGAAGTAAGATAGGGGACAGGATGGAACATTATTGGTGGGTGGCAGGAAGTGATAACAGCTGATAAGATACCATAAGGGGCCTCACAAAGGAGGGTCATCAACTTCATAACATGCGTCACAGCGACTGTAGGACGTTAGTTCCAAGAAGTAAGATAGGGGGCAGGATGGGAACATTATTGGTGGGTGGCAGGAAGTGATAACAGCTGATAAGACACCGTAGGGGGCCACTTCGGAAACGAAGCCGCCAAAATTCATAGCACGAGTTGTAACATCACTGGGGAACTGCTTCCAGCAAGTGATTCAGAGGTGGTTAGGGAACATGGTGGGAGATTTTAGTGGTGGTAGATGAATTTTGATAGTGTCCGACAAGGCCTAAGAGTCAGTATCTATCGCATCTTTACTCTGCTTGCGAGTGAACTTGACCACCGTTGCCAAAGAACCAAAGGCTCAGTAAGCCAAGATGCTTACAGCCTCTAGCAAAATCCCTTAGTTCGGCGGTTGAAATTGATTCGACCGCTAAACTCTAGAGTTTCACCCAAAAGTAAAAGCCGAGATGTTTGTCAGTGAGAGATGATAAGAGCCACCAGCAGACGGATACGTGGAAGCTGCTCAACGGAAGTACTAGGATGTAAGCACATTTCACTATGATTTCGATATTCTTACCATCGAAACTCTTTCAACCGCTAAGCTGTCCTGTTTCCAACGAATGGCGAGTGTTGTTAGAAATGTGATAAGCACCAGACATTGTTCATTGAAAAGGTGCAAAAATGATGAAATGGGCCGTATTTCGAAGCATGGGAATTAAGCCAAGTGTTAGTGGTTAGCACAAAAATCCTGTCAGTAATCAGTACCATGGGCTGGACATGCGCGCAGTAGTGCGCGTCAGCCAAATTGGTTATTAACGTACCAACCGGATCACCCGGCTGCCGCCGGGTGCTCCTCCTTCTTTGTCACGGCCTGGCTTCGCCAGGCACTCTTTCCTTAGGCGAGGTAGAGTGTGCAAAATACGCCTAACCGTCACAGTGCATTTTCCAGCAAAATGTATCCTTTCCTAAACCCTACATCGTATCTTGGAACCAACCTCCCACTGTTGCTGTGACTCGCGTGATGGACTCAGTGACCATACCCTTCTAACATCTCGAATCTTATCAGCAGCTGACAGTTCTTGTCATCCACCAATAATGTTCCTGTCCCATACCCTAAATCATATGTTGGAATCAACACCTGGCTGATGCTGTGACCATTACGAATATGGTGAGAGTTCCATTCTGAGGCCTCTTATCAGATATTATCAACTGATATCAACTTCACTTCCTATCACCCACCAATAGTGTTCCCGTCACACCCTCTACGTCACTTCTTGGAACCAATATCTCGCTGCTACTGGGACCGGCGCTATGAATTTCGTGTCAAAGAGACAGACGCACACGCACGGACATAGTCGATTATATATGGTAGAATTGTAACCGTTGTCCCAATGTAACGCTGAAATCTATCCTTTTGTCCATTCTTTTCTCGGGGTTAGTACCAAAAATCTCCATAACCCTCACACGAAAATTCAGTAACCTGTAAGAGCAGCCGAAGCATCCTACCGCTCAATGCGTTCTCCACCACTGTAGGGTTTTTTTTCTGGAATGCACTCCCGCATTCGGCAGTCTTGCGCTTCGAATGGTCCTCTCTCAGGTTGTTGATGAAAGATAGTCATAGTGATAAAGTTAGTTGCTGCAGTTCATGGCAACTGAGTAAACAACCGTCATGCATCTAAACTCCGGTTGCTTTAGCGGCCGTACATGCGTACCTACTAAAAGTGTTCCCCTCCTGCAGTGTATATCACTTCTTGAAATCATGGTCCCGCAGCTGCTGCAACTTGCCACGAATTCGGTCACCCTCCCCTTCTAAGGCCCCTTATCGAATCTTATCAGGTGTTATCACCTCCTGTCACCCACCAAAAGTGTTCCCGTCCTGCCATGTATATCACTCCTTGAAATCACGGTCCCGCAGCTGCTGCAACTCGCGCTACGATTTCGGTCACCCTCCCCTTCTAAGGCCCCTTATCGAATCTTATCAGGTGTTATCACCTCCTGTCACCCACCAAAAGTGTTCCCGTCCTGCCATGTATATCACTTCTTGGAACTGTCATCCTATCTTTTCTGCGACGCTCGCTATGATTTCGTGACAGACAGACAGACACACAAACATTCACATACACACACACACCAACAGACAAACGTAGCGGATTATATATAGTAGGATAAAAGTTTCAATGAGAAGTGAATAGAGTCTAACATTCGAAAATGATTGACAACATTATTGTCCAACTCACATTAGCTTAAAGGCACTTTCCGCGATAAAATAAGGCTATGACCTTTCAAATGTGTCAGACGATCCGGAAGGAGATTGCGGAGGCTGCGCTACCTTTAGAAAGTGAAAATCGGCAAGAATTCCGCTTTAAGCTAACCAATTAGGCCCATGGGCGCCCCTTAGGCCCATGCCGACCCCCACCGGCTGCTAGCTACTAGCTAGTAGCCACTATGCTATCTCTCTCCATTCCGAATGGTGAGAGTGAGGTGATACGATAAAAGATATCTTTATGATAACGACGAGTGGAAATTCGTACAAACATGCGTTTTCTTCATTGCATGCATGTACAAGTTGGGGTCGATATGGAATCCTATTTAGGGCATTTTCGGCTGTTTTTCTGCTGCTTTTCTCCGCTAATCAGATACCTAGCCCTTTTTCGTTCCTATGTGGGTTCCGTTACCCACAATCTGTGGTAGCGGGCTTTGCCTTCAAGCATGCTTATAGATAAGTACTCTTAAGATGATACCGCAGGCGTGACCTCGCGGTATCTTGAGTGAGTAATCGTGTAGGTACCTCTGATAAGCCCTTGAGCGCGGTGCGCCCTTTTCATCCTCTTTGTTCAGTGCCGCCTGCCGACACTGTATCTTAGCACCGCCCAAACTCGCTGTATATAAGCTCGCTGAGATCTGTATTATTCGATTCTGTTTGTCAGACGTGTAAATAATAAACGTTTCACGTTCTGACTGAGTATTCCCTTGGCCAACCAGCCAAATTGGTGCATCGGCCGTTGGAATAACTCTACAATCCCTGCTTTTCTTCGCGAGTCCTCTCAGGAGGAACCAGAAAAGTCAGCACACCTTTACTCCTTCTTGGCGAGTTCTCTCCGGAGAAACCCGAAGGACGTAAACCACCTTCCGACTACAATTCTTTGTCGCGAGTCTTCTGCCGGAGGAACCCAAAGAACAAAGCTTTACTCCCAGACGAGTTCTCTCCGGAGAAACCCGAAGGACGTAAACGACCTTCCGACCACAGTTTTTTGTCGCGAGTCCTCTCCGGAGGAACCCAAAGAACAAAGGCCTTACTCCTTTTTGGCGCGTTCTCTTCGGAGAAACCCGAAGGAAGCCTACAGGACAGCAAAATTCTTCACTGCGAGTCTTCTCCGGAGAACCTGAAGAACGAATCAGCACCCTCTGAGTGACTTCTTCATTAGAGTCCGGAGAGCAGAACAAATCCTTCATTGGAGTTCTCTCAAGAGAAACCACAAGGAAACCGAGTTCTCTCCAAAGAAAGAAAGGAAGAACCTCCACTGGCAGCCTCGACCGAGGTGAAAAATCAAGTCTTGCGCGAGTCCTCAAACGAGGAACCCAAGACATTGAAGAAAGACCCGCGTGGCAGGAGCAATTCTATTGCGGAATCAACGAAAGCTTCAAAAAGCCGTTGTAACGCTTTATATTGCAAAAGAAAACATTCACATTGACACTGAACAGTTGCCAAACCTACGAAAATGGCCGAAATTCAAGTGTTCAAGACAAAGATCACAAATGCTTGCGCCCTGCTCAAATCTCATGAGCCGGAAGTCAGCAAGCTTGATCAGAGCCTTCGCATCCCTACAAATGGAGGTGTGCAAGGTATACAGGGGTGGCCAAAAAAAAGTCACTTTGCTTCATTGACTTTCGAGGCGCTATAAGTTACACTTTATAAATTCTGATCGGACATTTCTACCACCATATTAAAGAGCATATTAAATACTATTATGACACTCCGCCACAGCCTTCTGGAGGAGCGCCATCGAGAGATTCTGGCACGCAACCGCGATGTGGTACCTGAGATCAGCGGGGTAGTCGATTTCTCCGCCACCGTAGACCACCCTATTGAACTCCGCCCGAACTAGGTAATTGAGTGGGTTCAGGTCAGGGGACATACTTCAATATTACATCTTCTTCAGGTACGAAACGCCCTTCCATTCGAAGTAGGCGGGAGTTTTTCCAAAACCCTTCGATTCCATGTGGTGGCACCCAAACCTGTAGCAGCACAAGGTCTCCAAGAAGGTACGGGCGACATGTAGGGAGGATATTCTTCTCGAGTTACTTGATGTAACCGCCAGCGCTCACCTTCAGTCGGGGTCTACAAAGAAAATATCGGTCTTCCCATTCCAGGTACCCCGGTCCATACCATCAACTCGCGCCTCGGCGACTACGGTGAAGATGATGTCCTAGACCGTAGCGACGTTGACGAAGCTGCTCGATGTTGGAGGTCATCCAGATTGAGAGTACTGGTCTCCAGGTAGCTATCCATGGGTGACTCCATACTAGAAGTTTCGCAGCTGTTTGGAGGTGACATGAATTCCAAAGGTCTTCTCCAGTCAGGTTGCGACTGGAGATGACTTCATATTTTGGTGTACATGAAGGTGATGGGCGGAGCCAGCTCCTGCTTATAGAGGAACATCTTGGGTATCTTCCGCCCTGGTACTCGTATCCACGTCCTCTGTCTGGGCTGCGAAAACTTTGCTGATATGTGACTTGGTCAAAGTGACTTTTTTTTGGCCACCCCTGTATATTGGAGAAAAAAACAACACAACTGAACTGTCTCTCCAGAACAATCAACGCACGCAGCAAAGCAGTTCCACGACTCCTACGTTATCAAAGCCATCGAAACCATCAATGCACGAACAGAGCATAAGGAACGAGAAAAGCTTATGCTAGATCTGAACAAACATCTGGAGGCTGAATCCAACAGCCTAGAGATTTCCGTCATACAATGGCTGACCAGAATCGACTTCAGGAAAGAGGAATTATTACAACAAACTGCTCTGCTGACCACATCTCAAGCCGCCAACAGCCAGTCTCTTAACAGTGGTGCCAGCAACGTCACCTTCTACCATGTGCCCACACATGAAAATATAGCGGACTGCGCGAAGAAGAGTGACCAAGAGCGATCTTCATCATCACCGTTGGTGGTGCGGTCCGTCATGGTTGAATATGGCAGCAGAACGCTGGCCTGCCAATGAAGCCATCAACCTGCGAGAACAGAGCGACACTGAAGCCTAAGCTTACTTCCAAACTTTAGGACCAGTGGAAGAGTCCAATGTGCAGTATGGCCTCTAGAAAAGACGAACGATTACTCCAAGCTGGTTCGAATCACAGCATACTGCGCCCGGTTTATTCGCAAAGCAACGAAGGGCAAACTCCTCGCTCTGGGCGAAACCACATCGTCTACAGCAACACCGTCAACAGAAGAAATTATATTAGCTGAACTTCTTCTCATTCGCCAAGAGCAAGCCATCCACAAATCGGCGTTACTGATGCAAAACAAACAGCTGAATATGAATATAGACGACAATGGTATATTCAGAAAGTACGGCCGACTCCAAAACGCTGATATTAGCTTCGATACTGCTAACATTCCACATACCAAAGCAAAGCAAATTAGGATATTTGATCGCAGCTCGGTTACACAAGCAGTCATCACTCTGTGGAAGCGAATCAGCTCCTCTACAACATGAGGCAGAAATACTGGATTCCCACAAGACAGATCAGTTTGTAAGCGGAATGCTTTCAAACACTGCGTTACATGCAGGAAATTCAATACAGCACCGTTCAAGTATCCGAACATGGGTCCCTTACCTACTGAACGTGTGACAAAATCGCCTCCGTTCGCACACACCGGAGTAGACTTCATGGGACCAATCACAGTTAAGTCTTCTTCAGGAGAAGACTTCAAACGATATGTAGCCCTATACACGTGCATGGTAACGCGACTAGTTCATCTCGAAGTCGCTACGGATCTATCGGCGAAAAGCTTCATCTTCACGCTGAAGAGATTCATCGCTAGAAGAGGAGTGCCACTAAAGATACTTAGCGATAACGGCAGGAGTGCCACTAAAGATACTTAGCGATAACGGCAGGAGTGCCACTAAAGATACTTAGCGATAACGGCACAAACTTTCGGCTGACTGCAACTCTCCTAAGTCAAAGCCCTAACACCGATGAGGACCTACATTTATCTCTGTTTCTCTCTGAACATGGAATCAAATGGAACTTCATCCCGCCCTAGTCACCATGGATGGTGGTATATGGGAGAGAAGGTTGAAAGTATTGTCAACTCGAGGCCGCTTACAACAATCGGAGACCAGAACACACCCTGTGAAGCTCTACGGCCGATTGACTTCGTATATAAAGATGTACGGCATGGAACAACTCAGCTTACATCGGAAGACCACAGTGAAGATACAGATTTTCGACCGGTTCCGGAACTCTCCTTTCAAAAAGCGGCGAAGTTAGCAATATCAGCGACTAAAAAACTGACGAAGAAGTTTTGGAGCATCTGGAGAAACGAATACCTCACGGAGTTACGAGACCGTCAAAGAGTCATTGGAAAGAAGACCAGATCCTCAGATAAACACCTAACGTCGAAGACGTAGTCCTCCTCGATGGCGATCTCCAGCAGCCAAGAGGACAATTGCCAGTGGCAGTTACTACCGGGCTAGTGACAAGTAGAGACGGAGCTATTCGAAGCGCTATGCTTCAAACTTCAACAGGAAGGATTGTACAACGACCACTCAATCGTCTCATCCCGCTGGAAATACGTTCTTCCATCCACTCTTCGGGAACTGAAAGCGACCTAGCTCCATCAGTTATAGGAAAACCTATTCACAGAAGAAAGACATCCACCAGATCATCGAACGATCCCAACGTGGCTGTTCATCGACATCAACCGCCGAGAGTGGCAAAAAAGGACGTGTCCTACGATGAAACCAGAGCTGGAACCAAGAGCCTCAGCCTCTCCAGCTCATCCACGATCTTCATGGTAGCTATGTGTGTATTCACACTATTCAACTCAGCGTCTGCTGCTACCATATCTTGCTCGAGCAAAGGAGCAGCAATTAATACGACTCACTTCTCGAAGCGGAGTTCTGCATTAATTACAAAGAATGTACCACAGTTCCAGCAGGAGCTAATATAACCGAAATTGCCTTACCATTCAAGCACCTTGTCAGCCAACACACCATACAATGGCGCACAATTGTTGCTTCCAAGCAATACACGGAAACGATAATCTGCCCTCCAGGAGATATCTGCCAAATAATCAGCTGCATCATGTGCGCAGAGCTTATCGGAAATCCTCACTGTGCCCGAAATGGTTTCAGGGATGTTAGCATTGTTCCTAGTGCTCGTCGTCTCTCCCATAGCGTTCTTATGCTACCTCACTGTACGGCACGGCATCAAAAGAAGTAGCGTGCGATTTCGGCAGAAGCTCAAGCAGATCAACACACCGTCACACCGTACGAAGGAGGACTCATCGATCAGCCTATCAGTGTTACCGGCAAGCTCGAAAATGATCGTATTCACCGTCATGGTTGCGTATCTCACCTCTACCGGAGAAGCATGCCAGTACACACATACACTCAACGCAAACAACACGGTTTGCTCTCGTTCACTCAACAAAACCGACTGCCGAGAAACACAAGAAAGTGCCATAACGCTGAGCGAAAATAGACCTCAAGCCTGCTTCCGCCTTAGAAACAGGAACCTCACAGTTGGGAGCATGGAAGTACGCCTACAACATGTTTTCTTGACCTGCAATTCCAGTTGTGCTTTTCTACACAGAGACGTCGACATCATCACCGAGTCCGTGAAGCGATGCCATCTAGCTGGCTCCTGCACATCACAAACCTGCTCACACATCAGCAGTAGGTCGGAGGTCCCGGAAACTACGAAACACGTACGATTTTCCTAAAATTACGCGATGCACGACATCTTGTGGAGGGCTCCCGCGCGGTTGCCTTCTTCCAACTCCAGGATGCTTATTTTCTCGCACTTACGCGAAGCCGAGGAATAACAAGATTTACCAAGTATTCCACTGCCCCACATGGCAAGAATCGGCTTTGATGACGTTCACCTATACTGGAGCTCAAGGAACGCAGGGCTCCGACACGTTCAGGATCAACACACAGACAACGCATGTAATGCAGAATGCCAACGTGACGCTGGAATTCGTAACAACGCCAGGAATACCTTTGTTGGACACGTTGTTCATAGGGATGGTCAATTCCAACCATTCAGAAGTCGCTCTTATCGAGAAAGATGATTTCATTGCTTTACGGTGTCCAACGATGAGAACTGCCTCCAATATACGGAATGCTACGTGGAAGACCGATGCTCTTGCTCACCATCGGAGACGGAAGCGAAATGCGACTGCAGAAGTCTTGACGTCATCACCAAGATGACGTCCATGGGAGACGGCCAGGAGTCACCGCCGCGCTCGAAACTAGGTCACCGCGCGCGGCGACCTGTTCGCGTGGCGCGGCGGTGAGTCCTGACCTGGCATTTTGCCAACTTCCGATCAATATGACCCTATCGCAGTTTGCTTGGAGCTTTCTCTCATCTTCCATCTGCCAAGAACATGTCCAAACAGGTAGACATGTTCAAACATGCAAACATGTTAAAGCATGTAATCGCCGCGCGCGGTGACCCACTTCCCAGCGCGGCGACCTAGTTTCGGGCGCGGCGGTGAGTCCTGACACACACCCTGACTTCCATATACAGCCGGCTTCCACTATCGTACTCAGTACTGCATCTTCAAGACGATCATGGACTTGTTTTCGGAGCCGTACATAGTGCCGTCATCGATGTCACGATAAGCACCTCAGCACTTTATCACGCAGACTATAATTGACAGTGAGGCCTGTGACATAACATCATACCGTTACAAGGCTGCTACAATTGTCTACGAGGAGCTGAGGTTACTTTCTCATGCCATTCCAATCGCCCAATCATGGTCGAGATAAAATGCCAAGAAAAAATATTCGCCGCTGCATGTGGTCCATCCATCCCCAAATCCATCCCCAAACAAAAGTTGCCATTCACGCAACACCGAACTACAAGGAGAGAAGGTAGGTGTCTGGTAAAAGGTGGTCAGAAGATGCACAACATCACCATATCCGGCGTCCTATCGTTTCACACCCATTGGAGAATGCCTTCCGATTAACACATGATTGAACACGCCTAACCACGTCAACATGTTCAATTACCCTGATCTTGGACATCTGCTGGACGTTGCCTTCCAACACTGGAAGACCTTCGTGATTACATGCATAGCAGTAGCTATCCTCATAGTCAACAGTGCTACCAGTTCCAATAATGCTACTACGAATCGCTTGCTAAAAATGAGGATGCGAAAGGCTGATGTCTAGTCATGTACATACCCATATCTTATGTACCTCGTGTACGTCAACATCAATTAACACCTTCCTATCGAAGAACTATGCTATCAATGACGACCTGGGCCACCAGGGACTGCATAAAAAGGAAGTTTCAATCCGTGAAAGCATCTATCCTCATGTACTGCGACTCATCAACCCATCATCATACTGAGAATCCCCTGGGAGATCTACCAGACCTGGATATTACTGGCTGAGGCCACTATGGCCATTCTTCACGACTGCTCCGCCAAGAGGCGTTTATCCAAGAAGCAGCTTCTCAAGAGGCCAGCGGATCCAACTGATACTAATGCTGCCTCCGAACCACCCGTGAAGTCTGCGAAATCTATCGTGTGCCTCCCGAAATGACGCTACGTCCGTTACTCGTTTCACGTAACGAAATGGGCGTGGATCTCTAATGAGGATATACGAGATATATTCTACTCCATTATGGACGGAATTAGCGACATCAAAAAGAAGCAAGATCGCATGGAGGATCGGCTGAGGATAATCGACCTCAGGACTGCGGCCGTCGAAGCACGGCTGAAGGAGTTCGACAGTAACAAGCCAAAGAAGATGGACCAGTTGCCCACCGGCTGCCCGCCAGTCCCGCCAAGCAAATACTGTGAAGTTTGCTTCGTTACGGGCCACCAGGCGGCTCAATGCCGCAGTCGAACAAGGATGGATCCAGCCCATGTGGCTAAGATATATAGTGATAAAGGTCTTTGTAAAAAATGCCACTGTATCCATGTCTATGAGTTGTTGTATCATCCGCTATCGATATTTGCTCTGACCTACCATTTCACGATTTTTCATCTCTCATCATTATTGATTCTTTGTCATGTACTTTGTGATGATGATATTGTTAATGATTGTTTATTCTGAGCTACCGCTCATTTTCGCCCCGCCGTTGTGAATCACAACCTTTCTTGTAACCATTATTAACATATAAAGGTTTCAATGAAAAGTGAATAGAGTCTAACATTCGAAAATGATTGATAACATTGTTGTCCAACTCATATTAGCTTAAGCATGCTTATAGATAAGTACTCTTAAGATGATACCGCAGGCGTGACCTCGCGGTATCTTGAGTGAGTAATCGTGTAGGTACCTCTGATAAGCCCTTGAGCGCGGTGCGCCCTTTTCATCCTCTTTGTTCAGTGCCGCCTGCCGACACTGTATCTTAGCACCGCCCAAACTCGCTGTATATAAGCTCGCTGAGATCTGTATTATTCGATTCTGTTTGTCAGACGTGTAAATAATAAACGATTCACGTTCTGACTTATTCCCTTGGCCAACCAGCCAAAGCCACCACATGGAACTGAAAGGCGTTGGAAAACTCTCGCCTACTTGGAATGGAAGGGCGTTGAGTACCTGAAGAAGATGGAATATCTAAGTGTGTCACCTGACCTAAACCCCTCAATTACCTGGTTCGGGCGGAGTTCAATAGGGTGGTCTACAGTGGCGGAGAAATCAACTATCTCGCTGAACTCAGGCACCGAATCACGGTCGCGTGGCAGAATCTCTCGATGGCGCTCCTCCAGAAGGCTGTGGCGGAGTATCATGATAGTATTTGAAGGCAGTTGGCACGATAAATCCCCCAAGACGAGTAGGATTAATACCTGCAGGACGGAATTCCGCGACCCTGAGCAGGCGCTGCATAGCGCCTTTCCCAAGGAAGGTGCCCTTATAAGGGCCCTATGAAGCTACAACATTACGACCCGAACGCCCGCCACGCCCGCCCGCCCACAAATGGACGACCGTTCCTGACGCTCGTATTCATTCATTTGCTAAGCAAATTATGAAGCGAAGGGATTGGTATGAAGCGGCCGTGATGCTGCATGGATATATGAGT